GAGTTCAAATCTCGGTGGAATTTATTGCTTTTAGATACGACAATAATGTGGGGTTGTCACCTCTGAGGAAGAGCTTATCCAAATCCGGAATCTGAAAGAAACTTGATAAGAGTGATATTTTTAATGTGAAAAAGGCTTGTATATTTAAATTCCTGTTCCAATGAACGCAGTACAAGCGAAAATTTGTAAATGTTTTTTCTATCGTAAATTTAAAATTTGTGTGCATGTCATCTGCTTCCAGAGAAAGTGAAATCATGCAAAATAACATACGTTTCTCTATTCAGTCCATGCGTTCTCAAATTCCACTTAAAATGTTTCTTCTCGAGAATAATTAAAACCAAACTTTTATAAAAACAATTATAATGCTGATGTGCAAAGAACAATTCGAATTGAAACGTTGTTTGGTCGTTCCGAGGGTCTCCCATGTTCTAGTGGTTGGGATCCTGGCTTTCACCCAGGCGGCCCGGGTTCGATTCCCGGCATGGGAAATATGGGTTCCATGGTGTAATGGTTGCAATCTACTGAATCCAGCGATCCGAGTTCAATCTCGGTGGAACCTTGCTTTTTAAAACAGATGTTATTGACACCTATCAAGACGTACATGTAGAATTCGAAACTTGTAAGAGTTTGAAAAGGAAGAGAGAATTTAAAAGCATTAAAGATAAAAAATATTAAATCTATGAATATAAAATAACAAGGTTATTTCGAGACAAACGGATTTATTTAAATGAGGTTAACGGATTTGAAAATTTCTGTTGATTAGTTCATTTTCCTTCATGCTTAAATTACCTTTCCGGACGGCCTATTTCAAAAGAATATTGAAAAAGAAACACATAGATCGTAAGTTACATTACGTTGTAACGATTTTCACATCCAGTGTCTCTATAATCACGAAGGATGATAATGTCTTCTAAAAAACATTTAATGTCCCGCTACGTGCACAAATCCGTATTTGTAGGAAGTTGATTGAAAAGATATAACACAAACAGTTTCGTTGCAATGAAAATATTTCCTTTCGTCCCCGAGCCTCGGTAGCGCAGTAGGCAGCGCGTCAGTCTCATAATCCGCAACTGGGAGAAATTTGAAGGTCGTGAGTTCGAACCTCACCCGGGGCATTTTGTTACCGTTTTGGAGCCGTCTTAGCTTGAAGCGTCTGTCTCGAGCAATTACTATTTGAGAAATGTTTTTGATATCGAAATATTCAATTCACCTTTGATTATTCGACTCTAAGCAATGGACTGTTCTTTTCTCTTTAAAAATCAAAGTCTTATATATTTCGGGAAAGATGGTGTAAAAAAATATTTGTTTCGGTAAATATTATTTTAGAAGTAAAAAAGGGACGTTTTTTGATAAAAATACTTCAACTGTTTTAAAAAATTAGATAAAGAAATAAAGACATTGCATTTTCACAAAATCCGAATGTACTTGAAGGGAGTCCCATGTGGTCTAGTGGTAAGGATTCCTGGCTCTCACCCAGGCGGCCGGGTTCGATTCCGCAATGGGAAGTTTGGGTTCCATGGTGTAACGGTTAGCACTCTGGACTTTGAATCCAGCAATCCGAGTTCAAATCTCGGTGGAACCTTTATTGCTTTTAGATACGACAATAATCTGAAAGAAAACCGGAATCTGAAAGAAAACTTGATAAGAGTAATATTTTTTAATGTGAAAAAGGCTTGTATAGTAAATTCTTGTTCCAATGAACGCAGTACCATGCGAAAATTTGTAAATGATTTTTCTATCGTAAATTTAAAGTTTGTGTGAATTTCATCTGCTTCCAGAGAAAGTGAAATCATGCAAAATAACATACGTTTCTCTATTCAGTCCATGCGTCCTCAAATTCCATTAAAGTTAAACCAGCCTCTTTCAACAATCTGAATACTTCCCATAAGTGCTCTACATGGCGCTTAAAAGACGGAGATGAAATGATAACATTGTCCACGTAGCAGAAAGTGAAACGCCCGAGAACTGGTTTAAGGATTATCTCAATTGCCCTCTGAAAATTTGGAGCTGCCCAGAAAGGCGAAATGGCATGCGAGTAAATGCAAAAGTTACCATTTTTTGTAACAAATGCCGTCTTATGAATATCTTTGGGGTCTACCGCCATCTGAAAGTATCCGCTGCGTAAATCAAGTGATGACATAATTTCGGTGTGTGGAATATTAGTGATCAAATCATCAATTATTGGTAGCGGATATCGTGGTTACCTCGTGATCGCATTTAATTTTCTATAATCTATTGCGAACCTATAAGCTTCTGAGTCGTCTAACGGCAACCCGTTATTCTTCCGACATAAAAGAACTGGAGACGCGTAAGGCGATATTGTTGGAATTATAGTTCCATCGTCCAACATCTTTTTAACGTGGTAGTTAATGATACCCTGTTTGACCCTGTCATAGCGATAAGGCCTTGAAGAATCAGGAGGATTGTCACCTGTATCAATTTCATGACAAAACACATGCGTCAGACCTGGCTTATCTGAAAACAAGCCTTGAAATTCCTTAAACAAAATCTGCAACTTCTGTTTTTGCCTGCATTTAACTTAGTCTTTGATAAATCTATCCGTACCGGTTCGTCCGAAATTGCCACTTTCTCAATCTGCGAGTCCGGAATGATTAACGATTTCGTAACAATATCAAAACCTATCTTTGCATGCGACATAAAATCAATGCCCAAGATGTATGGATATTGCATCTCAGCAATTACATGAAAATTCCACAACTTCGAAAATTCCCTTATCTTTATTCGTAACTCAACGGTTCCCAAATTTCTGCATTGCGATCCTTATGCCGTAACTACTTCCGCTGACGATTTCTTAACAGGACGAAAAGAAAATAATGATCGGTACGTCTCCTCCGAAATAAATGACTTCTCCGCACCTGTATCCCAGAGAACTTTTACAAACGTGTCATGTAAAAGAATTGGCACATATGGAAGATCAACTGATGATAACCGTAATGAATTAAGGGTCTCAGGGGTGTTACCCTTTTTTTCGAATTTTCGAAAAAAATATATGTTGTTCTTCATTTTTTTTTCTGAACATTTTGATGCTAACCACGTGACAATACTCTAAAAACTTCGAAAGTTATTCAAAAATTGCAAACAGCAACTTAGTCATAACAGCTTTTAAATGGACACATGCCACGCCCACTTATTCTTGATTTATGCATACGCTTCATTTTTCTGTTTTTAATAAGCCTCATGAAATATTTTAAGCGCTTGAGTTGATCAGAAGGAAGCCTGCAACTCAACACATTCATTCTGCTGTGTTTTGATTCTGTTGTGTTTACTTTAGTACACGTTTTTTTAAAACACTTATCTAAATTGAAGATATTTGTTGTTTTATACAAATAGCATTTTATTAATGGATACTCTGAAAAGAGATCATTGGGCAAACGCCCAAGAAAAGAATATTTAGAGGAAATAAATATTTAAAGGTAAGTGACTCCCATGTTACAGATATGAAAGATACGAGGAAGTGTGCAGAAATGAAAAATACAAGTAAGTGTGCCGAAATGAAAAATGCTTCAAGTAAAACACTTTCAGGAATTCAGACTTCATTAAAGCCAAATCTTGTTAAGGTAAGTGAAAACTTCAAAGGATATCGTATTTTTTATTTTATTTCAACCTTTCGCTCTATTTTGTCAGTATCGTGCTGTTTAAAATGTCATTAAAGCCATTAACAATTAATGAAAAATCCACTCGTGGTTTATGTTCGAATTTTGAAATACATTGTAAAAACTGTGGGAGTATTTGTACTTTTTCAAGCTGTGAAAACACTGGGAATAAAAATAATGCTCCAGAAATTAACAGAAGATCTATTTTAGCAATGAGATGCATATGTCAAGGTTTAAAGTCATTAAAAACCTTTTGTGCTGTAATTAGTCTTCCTAATCCTGTTGAAAGAAAATCATATGATGTTATTAATAATAAACTTTCACTTGTTATGAAGGAAGTCGCCGAAGGAAGCATGAACAGGGCAGCTGTCGAAGAAAATTCTTCGTCACCTGATAACATTTTAACGATAAGGGGTGATGGGACCTGGAAGACGAGAAAACATTCATCGTTGATTGGAGTATGTACTCTAATGGTGCCGCAACAGGTAAGGTTTTGGATAGGGAAGTGTTGTCCTCATTTTGCAAAGGATGCGACAGTTATAAAGGGGTAAAGTTTGGTATCAAGTACAATAAATGGCAAAGAGCGCATAAGATTTCATGTAGAAAAAATTATTCTGGCTCTGCTGGTAAGATGGAGGTTGACGGGATGTTGAGTATTTTTAATCGATCAGAAAAGCTTCACAACCTGAAATATTCGAACTACATACGAGATGGCGACACAAAAACATTCAATGCCCTTTCTGAACGCTGCGAGAAACGATTTTCAAAACTGAGAGCAAACAGCTCACACACACACACACACTTTTGAGTACTTCACATTCTCAAAATAGCTCCGATGCATGCGTACTCAAATTTGAGAATCGCATATTCTCATACTGAGCAACAAGTACATTCTCATTTTTGAACCTCTTACGGGATCAAATTTTTGAGAATGAAAGATCGAAATGAGAATATAATGCACTCATTTTTGAATTTGTTAATGTATCAAATATGAGTTTAAAACAATAAAATGAGCATGTTTAGCATTCATTTTCGATACTGTTGAATCTAATATGAATTTTTAACAGAAAAATATTTATTATCCCAAATCTTAAGGGATTTAAAAATGTGATACCTGAGTTGTGTACATTTTCACTTTCTTCATCTTACGTATTATTTCATTTTCATTTTATGAAATTTTTACACAACTTCGAAATCAAAATTCTTTTTACATTTATTGTGTGTAACAAAAAGGTACCTACGTATTATCGCGAAAGTGCCTAAGTTAAAGATAACTCGCCAAATTGGCAGTAACGATTTCGCATGTGTCGTACGCGCTGAATTAGCAACCATGTACATTGTTTTATACAATGTCGCCAATACGGTAGCGATAATACACAAGTATCAACAAAAATATTACTTTTCGAAAGAAAAAAAATGCAACTATTATTTTATCACAAACTGCATGTCTTCAAACTTTCACCGCAAATATAAATCTTTGAAAATTGCAAAAATAAATTCGATGCTATAGCTAAACAAATGTGTTTGCATTTTGAACTAGTTCCAGAAGCAATTTGGTTCATTATTTATATTTATATATGTTTCTCTCTCTCTCTAGAAGCATTATATTGTTTCCTTAAAATCATATACAAGCAGAAAAAATTAACTTTTATTTTAAAAAATTCAGCCCTTCAATAATAAGTTATTAGAAATATCTAGGAAACATTATGATAAATAACAGATTTTTCAAAGTAAAAATTTCAAAACAATGCCAGAAAGAAATAGCTTTTTTATATATTATGTAACCTGAAGAAAAAAACCTTTTGACTAAATTAACACTCATTAGGCCCAGGTGTGTAAGTACTCTTTATATAAATTGTTTTGTTTAAATAGAAAC